TTTAACATTTGACTTCCACCTGTTAACGGTCCAGGACTTCAATTTTAAATGTAATGGTGCTATTTTCTCGAACGCCTCTACCTTCTCACATGCACGGGAAGTTAACGCACATGTGGCCTTGGACGATAATAACATCCGATCGACCTATAGAGCGAGAGAAAATAGCGCACATCGGCTGATTCGCATAACCGTCATCCTCCCCCCTCCTCCTCCGAATGTTATTTTGGAAGGACCAACGTTCACATATTTTGTTAAATTTTCAACTTCAAAAGGTTTGGCCTTCTAAACACAAGGTAACATTGAAATAGTATACTAGGATAGAAAAACATCAAAGAGATCAGGATAAACCCAAAACGAGCAAGGATGGTGAAGGATGGCGAAGATATTCACGGATTGCAAAAATATACATGTAAACGTATATTTTCTTCTCACATAGCTGTTTAGTAAATATATCAAGTATACCAAAGGTACCATTCGTTTTTTCTCAAAAGTCCATTTTTACTTTGTAAAAGCTCTTCTAAATTCGATGCATTTGCCATCTTGAAAGGTGCCAGCTTTTCTGTGACGTTTCGGGTAGAACATCCAAAGTTTCGTTTTACAATCGCGTATAATACGTGTAGATGTTCTCCACAGCCGTTGTTTGCCGGTCTCGTCACGATATTTTTACTTACAGTTTGCTTGAATATATTCGATTTTTTCATAATGGTAAAGCGTTGTGTCGTCCTGTTTGTACTAATTCAAACAAAACTGGACATACACTGCAAAGATTTCCAAATGAAGCAAATTTGAAGCAACAATGGGTTAAATTTGTTCAAGCAAAAAGAGCCGATTTCGTCGAGCCGTTCAAACATTCTGTTGTTTTTAGCAGTCATTTTCTTCCGATTGTAAAGAAAGGCTTTATGGTTGAAATGGGCCTCCAAAAGAAAAAAAAAACTTCTTCCTGGTGCTGTACCGACGATTCAGGCCCTGCCAGAGGCAAATTAGGAAAAAAGAGACCAACACATTTGGCAGACGGTGAGGATTCGGATGTGGCCGACCGAACTGAGAAACGACCGAGGAAAATTTCAGCTCTTCAAAAGTTAGAGGTCAACAGAATAAGCACAAAATTGATTCACACGGAAACCTTTCTCATCTATTGAAAGATTATGGGTAGGCCAGTTGCTCGGGAGCCAGCGCTGAGCCCATTAAACATGATAAAGACACTGGCCTGTCTGAACCTTTGCATGAGTTTGAAACACGTATTAAAGAAAG